CATTGAGCACCACTTGCTCAGGTAGGGACATAATTTTGTGATATTATTTTTGTCGTAAGCTTCATGATCAGGATCAACGATTATAAAAAAAATATAAACTATAAAAAACGTAATTTATCCGTGGTTTGTATCCATGAACCAACTGCTACAAGATAAAACGCCTGAATAATGATAATTCATTAAAAACTCTCGTAAAATCATTTAAGCCTAGTTACGCTACTAGCCAGACACCGCCCAATGGTTATGTTGACAAATGCGCACATTCAGACCGGGAGGATCGATACCGACACTCACGTGTGAACAGCGCATCAGGGACAACGGATAGCACGGGCGGAGTTATGTCCCTTAGACCGTGTTTGTGAATAGACCCGTATCCAGAACAATCTGCGAGTTGTCCCTGCAGCACTCACTGACCCTAAGGGTTCAAGACGAGACGGGTTGTTATTATGTCGGTCTGTATAAAAGAAAGCGTGACTGTTAAACTAACATCTGTCATGCCTGCTTAGTCACGAGTACAATGTATTTGGTTTTGTACTGACAATAAAACAACGCAACTTGGTAGAACACAAAGTAAGGAAAAGATATATGGATGAACAACTTCTTTATTATAATTAAGGGCGACGTTTCGGTGTAGGTTCTAACACCGTTATCAAGCAAGTGATGTACAGAGTATGGTTGACAAGTATATATACAGGGAGGAGACAAATGCCTCTCAAAGAAGGAATAATAACACACTTGCCTTGTTCTGCGGATATATGGTTGTGATAAGAGGGGGTGAGGTGCAATGGGTTTTACGCGACGTGTGTGCGTGCGTGCGTGTCTAAATGTGTGTGTATGTATGTGTGTGTGTGCTTAAGAGAGAGTGTTTGTGTGTGTATGTTCTTATAAGTGTGAGTGTGTGTGTGTGTGTGTTTGTATTTGTCTCTCTGTGTATATGCATGTGTCTGTGTGTGGCTCTGTGTGTGTCTGCATGAGTGTCTTTGTGTTTTTGTATGTGTGTGTGCCTCTCTGTCTGTCTGAGTGTCTGTCTGCATGTGTCTGTGTGTGGCTCTGTGTGTGTCTGCATGAGTGTCTTTGTGTTTGTGTATGTGTGTGTGTGTGTCTCTGTCTGTCTGTCTGTCTGTCTGCATGTGTCTGTATGTGGCTCTGTGTGTGTCTGCATGAGTCTCTTTGTGTTTGTGTATGTGTGTGTGTGTGTCTCTCTGTCTGTCTGTCTGTCTGTCTGTCTGCATGTGTCTGTGTGTGGCTCTGTGTGTGTCTGCATGAGTGTCTTTGTGTTTGTGTATGTGTGTGTGTGTCTCTCTGTCTGTCTGTCTGTGTGTGTTTCTGTGTGTGGCTCTGTGTGTGTCTGCATGAGTGTCTTTGTGTTTGTGTATGTGTGTGTGTCTCTCTCTGTCTGTCTGTCTGTCTGCATGTGTCTGTGTGTGGCTCTGTGTGTGTCTGCATGAGTCTCTTTGTGTTTGTGTATGTGTGTGTGTGTGTGTCTCTCTGTCTGTCTGTGTGTCTGCATGTGTCTGTGTGTGTCTCTGTGTGTGTCTGCATGAGTCTCTTTGTGTTTGTGTATGTGTGTGTGTGTGTGTGTCTCTCTGTCTGTCTGTGTGTCTGTGTGTGTTTCTGTGTGTGGCTCTGTGTGTGTCTGCATGAGTCTCTTTGTGTTTGTGTATGTGTGTGTGTGTGTCTCTCTGTCTGTCTGTCTGTCTGTCTGCATGTGTCTGTGTGTGGCTCTGTGTGTGTCTGCATGAGTGTCTTTGTGTTTGTGTATGTGTGTGTGTGTCTCTCTGTCTGTCTGTCTGTGTGTGTTTCTGTGTGTGGCTCTGTGTGTGTCTGCATGAGTGTCTTTGTGTTTGTGTATGTGTGTGTGTCTCTCTCTGTCTGTCTGTCTGTCTGCATGTGTCTGTGTGTGGCTCTGTGTGTGTCTGCATGAGTCTCTTTGTGTTTGTGTATGTGTGTGTGTGTGTGTGTCTCTCTGTCTGTCTGTGTGTCTGTGTGTGTTTCTGTGTGTGGCTCTGTGTGTGTCTGCATGAGTCTCTTTGTGTTTGTGTATGTGTGTGTGTGTGTGTGTCTCTCTCTGTCTGTCTGTCTGTCTGCATGTGTCTGTGTGTGGCTCTGTGTGTGTCTGCATGAGTCTCTTTGTGTTTGCGTATGTGTGTGTGTGTGTGTCTCTCTGTCTGTCTGTCTGTCTGCATGTGTCTGTGTGTGGCTCTGTGTGTGTCTGCATGAGTCTCTTTGTGTTTGTGTATGTGTGTGTGCCTCTCTGTCTGTCTGTCTGTCTGTCTGCATGTGTCTGTGTGTGGCTCTGTGTGTGTCTGCATGAGTCTCTTTATGTTTGTATATGTGTGTGTGTCTCTCTGTCTGTCTGTGTGTCTGCATGTGTCTGTGTGTGGCTCTGTGTGTGTCTGCATGAGTCTCTTTATGTTTGTGTGTCTGTCGCTCTGTCTGTCTGTGTGTCTGTGTGTGTTTCTGTGTGTTTCTCTGTGTGTGTCTGCATGAGTCTCTTTGTGTTTGTGTATGTGTGTGTGCCTCTCTGTCTGTCTGAGTGTCTGTCTGCATGTGTCTGTGTGTGGCTCTGTGTGTGTCTGCATGAGTCTCTTTATGTTTGTATATGTGTGTGTGTCTCTCTGTCTGTCTGTGTGTCTGCATGTGTCTGTGTGTGGCTCTGTGTGTGTCTGCATGAGTCTCTTTATGTTTGTGTGTCTGTCTCTCTGTCTGTCTGTGTGTCTGTGTGTGTTTCTGTGTGTTTCTCTGTGTGTGTCTGCATGAGTCTCTTTGTGTTTGTGCATGTGTGTGTGTGTGTGTCTCTGTCTGTCTGTCTGTATGTGTCTGTGTCTGTCTGTATGTGTCTGTGTCTGCCTATGTGTGTGTGCTCGCTTGTATTAGTCGGGACAAATGCCAGTTATTTATTGCTGACTCAATGAGATCGTCCAATGCCGCAGCTTGGCATGGGTACCTTACTCAGACATAACCCACCTGTACTTGTTTTATTCTTTAATTCCGTTGTCTGTTTGTTAGTTGTTTAACGCCACACTCAGCAATATTCCAGCTATATGACGGCGGTCTGTAAGCAATCGAGTCTGGACCCGACAATCCAGTGATTGACATCATGGACATCCATCCACGCAATTGGGACACGATGACATGCATCAACCAAGTCAGCGAGTCTGACCACCCGATCCCGTCAGTCGCCTGTTGCTACAAGCATAGTCGCCCATTACGGCAAGCATGGGTTGCTGTAGGCTTATTCTACCCCGGATCTTCACGGGTCCCTTTAATTCCGAGCACCAGGCTGCCTAACAGGTGCGTCTTTAGGTATGCAGAAGTCTAGGCTGGAACCGCGACATTCCGCTGTCCGGGGATGCTCTCTCCACCAGACCACGGAGGCTGTCTGGGGTTGATGAGAATGATGATGTTGTCGGTGATAAAAATGGCACCAGGCGCAGTGAGGCGTTATGATGGATGGAATGATTGAGTTTGAGCGGCTTTTCCGTCTCATCAAAGGACGTCAGCTTAATTTTGGTTGAAAGCCCCAAATGGTTGTCTGTTGATCTTCATCGCTTTTTGGGCGGTCGGGTAGCCTAATGGTTAAAGCGTTAGCTCGTCACTCCGAAGACCCGGGTTCGATCCCCGACATGGGTACAATGTGTGAAGCCCATTTCTGGTGTCCTCCGCCGTGATATTGCTGGAATATTGGTAAAAGCGGCGTAAAACCATACTCACTCACTCACTCACTCATCGCTTTTTTAAACCCACGAGCTCTGAACGCATGGTAATGTTATACCAGTGTTCGTTATCGGGAGGAATCTAAGGTTCGAACCTACTATCAGCGTATCCTGACACGGTAAAGGGGCTTAATGTGACGCATTTCACCTCTTTGCCTTCAGTACCGTGGTCGAATGGTTAAGTTCACATTTTAGACCAACTTTTAGACCACATTTACGTATAAATCAGGAGGTGATACTCATAAGTCTTTTATTGTCTTTACACTTGAGCTCCGCTGTGGGGATTCCGAGTTAGAATAGGTCTCCAGCGACCAATGTGTTTGTTGGTCGTAAAGAGCCTGTCACACACTACCGATGCACCTCGCCGGGACTACACCGGAGCGAGAAATTCGGCGGAGCTCCGACTAGAAAGGACTTGAAAAATCAAAATTGACCGTAGCAATACCGATGTTCCCGCTGTGATACCGTTGTTCAACCGTTGTCTTACCGATGTAAGAGCCGATGTGCTACTGAATACCACTTTTCTGCCAGCATAGTGTTACCGATGCGCCGCCAATGATATACCGATGTACCACTGTTAACCGGAGCTATAGCGGAGTGATACCGTTGTACTACCGAATACCACCGAAGTAGCACCGATGCGCCGCCGATGTTATACCGATGTACCACCGTTGACCGGAGCTAAAACGGAGTGATACCGTTGCGCTGCCGATGCACATCGGCTGGAAAACGGTGTGACAATGGAACTCCGGTATCACATCGGCGGCGCATCGGTGCTACTTCGGTGGTATTCGGTAGTACAACGGTATCACATCGGTACCACTTTGGTACACATTGAGGCCACCGGAGAGCCGCCGATCCATTACGGGGCGCTACCGGTGCTGTACCGACATTAACGAAGCCATATGTTACCGGAGTTCTGCCGTTGTAGTCCTAAAGTCCTGGTAGACTAAATTGATCAGGTGATCTAGCGTGGTGACTTTGTTGATTGCGTGACGTTGTAACCCGAAGGCGTGAGACATTACCTCTATCGGACACAGCATACTGATTCCGAGCCGACCAGTCCCTGTTTCAGACCCTTACTGCCGAGTGCCAGATAGGGAAACAACAAGTGTACCATTTTTAACGTCTTTTGGAATGACGTTAAAAGGCGATCTAATCACCGATGCTCTACCACTAGACCACGGAGGCGTTCCAATCAAAGAATGAATAAACGCGAACACATTAAGGATAAGAAGAAAGGAGGAAGAAGAAGAAGAGAAAGAAAAAGAAGAATACGAAGAGGAAGAAGAAAAAGAAGGAGGGAGAAGAAGAGGAAGGAGAAAAAGAGGGAGAAGATAAAGCAGAAGAGGAGGAAGGAGAAGAAGACGAAGTAGAGGAAAAGGAAGAGGAGGAGGAGGAAGAAGAGGAAGAGGATTGGGAAGAAGAGGAAATAGAACAATAAGAGGATGAAGAAGGAGAAGAGGAAGAACAAATGGGAGGCAGAAGAAGAAATAGAAGAAGAGGAGGAAGAAGAGGAGGGAGGAGGAGGAAGATGAGGATTTAAAAGAAGGGGAAGAGGGGAGGAAGGAGAAGAAGAGGAAGAAGACAAAGCAGAAGAGGAAGGGGAAGAAGAAGAGAAAAAGGAGACGGAAAAGGAGGGGCAAGACGGAGAGAAGAGAAGAGGAGGAAGACGAAGAGAACGGAGAAGAGGAAGAGGAGGAGGGACAAGAAGGAGAGAAGAGGAAGGAGAAGAAGGGGAAGAGGAGGAGAAAGGAGACGAAAAGAAGAGGAGGAAGAAAAATGAGGAGGGGAGAAGAAGAAGAAATAGAAGAAGAGGAGGAAGAAGAAGAGGGCGGAGAAGAGGAGGAGGAGGGAGAGAGCAAGAAGGAGAGAAGAAGAAGAGGAAGAAGAGGAAGAAGAGGAAGGGGAATAGGAGGGAGAAGAAAAGAAGAGGAAGAAGATAAATGAGGAGGGGAGAAGAAGAAGAGGAGGAAGAAGAAAGAATGATTTCCTCTAATCACCCTACATACTGTAAGGCGGTTCGTTCGGGGAAATATATAAATATATTCATGTTTTTTCTTAAATTGAAAAAGAGTAATGCAGCTGTTTAAGCAAACACCGCAGCTGGAATTCCTACGTGTAGATTCCCACGTGCAATGACATACTGAAGATAAGATATAAGATAAGAAATATTTTATTGCTGTGTCACATGGCGTGTGCTACAATGAAGTCCGATCGAAAAGCCCTATCATACACAGGGGTATCAATAATAATGCAGTAAAAGCACCGAACATGCTAAGATATGAATCTATGTTAAAATTAACGGTTAAAATATTACAAAAACATATTACGAAAACCTGAATATCTTAGTTCAACTAAGATAAGAACGTATGTATTTATAGAAACTAATGTGAGGGATGACATTTCCCTTTAACTTAATAATGACAACAGCGACAAGGACAAACGATAACTCTTCACACGACATTAACAATGCGAATTGATCAGCTGGAGTCATGATAGTAAACAATGGATTAATGAGAGAGGTTTGATTAAATTAGGGGCGGTGGGGTAGCCTAGTGATAAAAGCGTTCGCGCGTCACACCGAGAACCCGGGTTCGATTCCCCACATGGGTACAATGTGTTCAGCCCATTTCTTGTGTCCCATGTCGTGATATCGCTGGAATAATGCTTAAAGCGGCGTAAAACAATACCCACTCACCTCACTTGAAGAAATAAACCCGATCTTACATTAGTATTCACAGGTAACTAAAAATGAGCTTCGTCTTCACCACTGCGGAGGTTACAGAATTTAAAAATATATTCAGAAAGAGGAGTTTCTGGGCGCAAAAAGCGCCCCAACTCTATTTCCAAAGGGAGCGTACCACACCGGAGCTTGACTACGGTGAAACTGATTCCAAATACTGTGTGCATATTATGAAGTGCACAGGCTCCCTTTAACAAACGAAATGTCCTTAGTTTATAACTATTAGATTGCCCAGGATTCCCTAAAGCACTGTACCAAATTTCGTCATTATTCTTTTTGTGATACTATGGAACTCTGTGGATGAATTATTATCAACATCTGGAACAAATAACTTCAACTATCAAGCAGTTTCAATCAGTTATCAGTAGAAGTAGGAAGTATGTAAAACTGTCCACGACAAACTGCCTGGATTTTCCTCTGTAAACTTCAATCCACTCAAACCACTAAACCTGCATTAACGTGAGTATTATCAAGGATGTGGTGATTATTTCACTTATATAGCACGTGTGCGTGCGTCTGTGTGATGCAATGTGTTTTTTTATTTACGTTAATCATACGTTATTAAATATCTTTCTATTCAATTCATTTCCCTATTTGAACATACTGTTTGATTTAGTAAATATAAGAGTTATTAATAACTAATAGCTCATGTACAAAGGAGTTGCTTTCCATGCTCTCTCATTCTGAAGGTATATCCCACTTTCCACATTCTGATAATCTGCCGTGTAAGTCATATTTAAGTTGCAAATCTCCTGATCAGTATATACGGGTACGTATAAAGGTAAAACACAGTAAATATATTTATTCAGATGTTTCAATAAGAAAAACTATAACATGCTATAAAAAGAGTATTGATCTAATACTAACGGTATCTGTTGCCAGCACACATTGTACAAACTGCTTGGTGATACTATCGTCATCGGGACAGGAGTGGTGCGATTATACAATGTTTATTTCATTTTATTAAAAGGATGAATCACCAGGCAACATTTCTTCTTAATAACACGTTATAGGTTAGGTATATCAATATTGTACAAATTTGAAATACCATCAGAAAGAATATAATAAAAAATAAATAAAAACGAGATATGAAATAGACAAAGATTAACTAAATACATTTATTATACAAATATTTCTTTGTGATTTGTTTATACATTATTACATGATTTTACTTAAATGAAGATTTAAAATCAATGTCGAGAATAAATGTAATAATTGTTTTGGGTTTTGAAATTCTTTTTATTACATAGAATATGAGTAATAGAGTATTGCCTCGTGTGCTATGCGTGATAATGCATCATGTGTATGCTCATATGCATCAACAACTCGTAACTTACATGTCACATGAAACACTGAAGAGAACAACAGATGCAGGTTGAATTAACTGAATTGTAATGTGTACTCGTTCTGTAATTATTAAACATGTTTGTCCGTCAAGGAATTAAAATACAACATTTAATTCACTCATCTTTCATAAACCAGAAGTGTCGTTTGTTCACGAATACAATTTTGAAATACTGGGAATTTGGAAATATTGAGTTCATTTTGGGGAATATATGCCAAATGTGTGTTTAGCTATAACTAATACGTACCACGTGAATACATTATATCTTGTTGCGATGAATGATCAGAACATGAAATCTTTACTTTCTATGCACAATGAAAATATGATTTTAAATGGCAGCTACGATTAGTTAGTGATGAGCTCAGCGGCCGTAGATTTTATGGATCCATGTGAGCCATCCGTAAGTTCACGTGTCACGTGTACGAGCGTATCTACTCCTGCTTCACGAAGTCCACGTTGACATGGATTTCAACGTTTTCATTCTTTCAATGTGACGTTTCGGTACAGACACTTGTACCTTTATCAAGCCAGTGATTCGAGAAGGACGCAAAACACCAATCCAGTATGTTGGTGTATCCCACCTTTTTTAATTCTGACATTATCGTTATGTAATTGTTGTATGGACTTTAAAATACATATGTGTTGTGATACATATGTGATCTAAATGTTGCAAAACATAAATTAAAACACAATATATATGTCTATATGTTGTACAACATGAATTAATACAACATAAATGTAATATAACTTATGTTGATCTATCAAATATGTGATCTATAGACAATAGTAAAACCATAAACTGTTGGTAATACAATTTTCAGTATTATATATGTTGATCTATATGTTCTTAAACATTGGTAATAAAAGTGATGTGTTTTATTCCACTCATTTCACTCCTCCAGCAATCTGACTGAATCCCACTACCAAGACCCCTAATGATACAGTTGGCAACAACAACCACTCAATCCCTATGTTGTTATACCCTACCAATGTTGGGAAATTCGGGGGATACCGATCAACAACTGGGTAGGACCTAGTTTTATTGTTAATAATACATAAACATATATAATTACAAAAACAACGAACAGAGTGATATGCGATGGGATTAAACCATAGGGACGAAGCAAAAACATCGGGGTTTTGCAGTGTGTTCTTCAATGTGTAGTGAACTTAAAAGGTCAACAGTGTCTTAGACGAAGAAGAAGAAGACGATATTTATTTCTTGAATGATCCAATTCACGATATAAATATAAAATGAAATTCCTCACCAACATTATTTTTCAAGTGTGCAAAGCTTTCCTCATATTATGCCATCTACGAGTTTCATTTTTCAGCTTTCTTGATACTCCAGCTTCCAAAATGCTATTTGATTATATTGCCTATTTCTTTACCTACACCGACATCCAATATTATTTTGAAGCTGAGGGTTTGACATATAGGTAATGCTATTGACAAATCACACTTTCGTGATCAGGTTGATCTCAATATCGTTCAATGACGTCCATGTATTTTGAATACTGAATAGGGGGAATTGTAAGATCTTAGATATTCGTTTATGTAGCTGATGAAATATCAAGACCTAAATAAATAACAGGAATAGGTAAAACCCCTTGAAGACACGTTCGTATTTCTATTTAGCTTTGGTATAAAATCTTATATTAAACAATGCATGTAGTCATATACGTGCGTTCGATTTACGACACACATTCATCGACTGACTAGAATTCTGAATTGAGTTATGGGAGAACTCGCACGGCATTGCAGTTAAACCATAGCAAAATGAATAAATCGGATGTTCTTTAGCTTCTTTTGAGAAGTATCTAAAGGATATTTACTATTGATGTAACGGATAAATGAATCATTATGGGTTTTTTATTATAATGTAATTACTGGGATTGGAGATCCGCCATAAAACCAGTTATTATACTGACAGTTGATAGTTTATAGGGGCATTTTAACCCTGTCAATTTTACACCAGATGCATCTCATTGGCCCAGGGACCAGGCATGTTAAGCAAAAGCTATTTTTACCACTTAAATAGTTGTGGATTTTCTATGAACACTCTTCCTCCTGTTGCCACACGCATGCGGTCATAAATAGAAGACGAGGTAGAAGAGAATGTTATTTAATGTTTCATATCTTGCATATGATACAATTATTACAATACAAAAATTCATAAAAATATACAATATGCGGACGTATGACCTACAACACACCATATATATATATATGCGTAAAATACAGAATTTACTCAAAGAAAAAGAAAATGAATAGAAATTTGTTTCCACGACAAATAAATATCCCCCAAAATATTCCTGATCCTTTACTTTTTTGTTCAGTTTATCTCATCTTA